AGCCTTAATTCCCAACTTAACGATGACGCTCAGAGATATGCAGAAAAACTTGCCCGTGAGAGTGTTTTTGAACATGACAAAAACAATAGAAACCAAGGAGAAAACCTGGGGTTACAATGCGCCAGTGGAAGTGATGCAGATCTGGTTAAGAAGGTTGTTGATGCATGGTAAGCTTCATCTGAGGCAATGCAAGTTTGATAAAATATAATTTGAACTTGACTTTCGTTGATTTGGAATAAAGCTCAGAACAATTCCCAGATGAGCCAGTGTTGAATGTATTCCGGGATTAAATTGGTTTTGCTTAAGGTTGCTCTATAACTGTTTCTACAAACGTCGCTGAAATTAGTTTTAGTTTTAGTTTTTCACTGAGCGGCATCCCTTGAAGTTATTACTGACCAAGAAAAACATGCATTGAATCGTCTGCCCATCAATAATGGGGTGTTGTTTCACAAATATGCGTGCCATTGCAGTGCTACAAGAATAACTTCTGATCCGCTGTCTCATTTTTTAGGTATAAAGAGGTTTGTGATTACAATTTCGACAATCCTGGAGTAAGTTCTGGGGTTACTGGTCATTTTACTCAAGTTGTGTGGAAAACAAGCACCAGACTTGGCATTGGGTTCGCCAGGGGAAGTTACACATTTGGCTCACAAAGATATGACAACTGCCTGTTTGTGGTCGGCCGATATCTAGAACCAGGAAACTTAGTTGGTGCCTATCCACAGAATGTGTCGAAGGGAAGCTTTAACGTGCAGATTTGTCGTTCTTCAAATAATTACGGGAAGAGAAGTAAGCCTTTTCGAAAACCAAATTCGGGAAAAAGTAAAAGGAAGAGCACCTTAGAGTTGGTCCTTTAATCCTTTAACTCCCAAGATTTGATTGTTAATTCTCCCCTCTTGCTGCTACACAATTCCTTGTAAATTAGTTGCGAGAATGTGGTGAAAGATCAAGATTACAACTTCTACCTGATAAGTTTGAGTATTCTCATTAACTGTTTGCTAAAATAGTGTGGAAATTATTTAGAGAAGTTACATGTTAGTCACGTTAAAGGGTTAACTAAGGGCAAGCCATATTGTGTGATGCATTTCTGGAAAGGCGAAATAAAGTTGTATTTGGCAAAAGATAATGGCTATGCCTACATTTTTTTATTTTATTTACTGGCAATTAAAAAAGCATTTAAAGAAACAGCTGGTCGGTTGATTTTATGGGATTCACACCAACATAGGTAAAACATAGCTACTACACAAAGAGATGGTATGATGTCGTCTTCATATAGATATAAATGAAATATTTAATGAAAGGCAATTTTAAAACATATTTTGGTATGAAAATATTACCCAGAAAAGCACGCATAAACTATGCTCGAATGAATTCTATCCCAACTTTTCTACTGAAATGACATAAACTTTCTTGATGGCAGTTCAATTCAACTTTTAAGTTGCTTAAAAGCAGTGTTGGTGAAGTTCGATAAAAAAAAGAAAAAAAACCTCTCAAAATAAAAAAAATCGCCGGGTTGAAACAACTGCTTATGGAGCCCAGGATGGGAAAACCCTTAAATTTCTTTGAATATTCACATGAGATCACAAAAGAATAAACAAGAGATGTAGAAGAGCTCAACCATTTTTATAACATAGCTAGTAAACTTGTCTAATCAAATTAAATTGCGCGAGCGTGCTTCATATTCCTATTTTGCACGGACATGACGTCAGCAAACAAATCCCTTGAGAAACCCATCGGGTTGAAAATGTTATAAAACAATTGGTTCAAAGGAGCGTCAGAAATGTCATCCGCTCCTTTGCTCCTATTAAACGAGTTTCATACGTCAGGTCCCTTCCTCTGTCTTCTTTCAAAACCACAAGACAGGAGGGGGGGGGGGGTATCTTCGTATGATTGATACATTTCGGAAACTACACGCGTAAACAAAAAATTGTCCTTGATACCACTGGGCGAAAAGTTGAGACCGTCCACGTTTCCGTGCCATTTTTTACACGCTCGTCGCCGCCTGGAGTGGAAGTTTAGAGATAATCTCAAGCCACAGAGCATACAAATGGAAATGAGTGGTTGATTTTCCTGCTCTGTGCATGTTAAAGATTTGGAATTACGCATTATCATAAAATTCATTATATCACGTTTCTAGGGTTATTGTCCTCTACATCGATATTAAATAGGATAACTTATGTCATCTAAATACAGGTGGGTAGTTTCAATCCTTTGGTTCTGGGAGTATCAAGGCTGACAGGAGATCAAGAACCTCAACTTCCAACACAGAATTTCTACTTTTTTTAAAACCTGGCAGATGTAAGTAACTTTGAAAAAAAACTAGCCAGCTAAATTTTATTTATGAGATGATTTAGTGAAGCAATTCCATGAATAACGCCATCAATTTGTTAGTTAAGTATATAGATGTCTATGCATCTACCTTAATTTATGAAGTCACTTGATTTTTTAATTACAAATGCTCGATTATCGAAATCCTTAGAAAAGAAAAATTTCGGTCTTTTTCCTTGCCTCTTCCATAGAACGTAATCCTATTTTTGTTCTGTTAATGTCATTTATCAGGAGTCTAAAGAATTTACATTGTTTGAATTATCATGGCCTGGTCGTTTGGTTAGGTTTGTTTTCAGTGGGAGGTAAGACATTTTGTTCATTAGAAATAATCGTTTATCGTACAACTATGATATCTTTCAAACACGGTTGTTATCTGCGTTTTCTTATTCTTATATTTGTTCAACAGCAAATGCAGGCTCGTTACGAATTCCTATTGAGGGACAGCTTATATACGACAGTTCATCAAAAACTGCAGATCTCTGTCTGTCGCCGCTCATGTGTCCAACGTGTGTTTTTGACGTTCTTTGTAATCAGGGCGGAATTAATTCTATGCAAGGAACAAATAATCCACCTTACTCAACCAACGCTTTACCGCTAACCACTGTGTCAACGACCCCAACATCGTCGAGTACAGAGGCAGCCTCGACAGAGTCGCCCTCAACCACCGAAGCTACCACGCAGAGTGTTCCAACAACGGAGGAGCCGGCCAGTAGTACAACAGCATCAATCCCCTCGAGCAGCAGTATCACTGATCATACCCCTTCCTCGGCATCTGAGACAACTCTCCTCACAGAGGCAACAGAAGCAACCGACGGTGGTAATCTAAGTCCTACAACATCGGTCACGGTGTCAGCAGCAACGGTAGGCGGAGGAATCGACGCGGAGGCAGGTAATTATGGGGATTTCATCGGAAAAAAAATCTGACATAGGGAACAAGTTGGACCTTGTGGTCTCCCCGATAACACAAATGATCCACCTCACCAATTTTTTTGTGAGGCTAGAGTTGAGGTACATGATAAATGTGAATTGTAGCTATATGTCCTCCTATGTATAATGGTAGGGTTGTTCAGTTTTTGGCGAGGTTCAGTGTCCAATTCATTCGTCATCAACAGGCATACCAAAATACCAGCGTTTAATCGCTTTGCAATGTCCTACCTGAAAACGCCTGCCTTTAAGAGACTTGTTCAAATCGTTTAGAAATAGAACGAGTGGATACTATAGTTCCTACTTGCATAGCCTGATTTGGTCTTTTTAGATATTCTCAATTAAGTAAAAAAAGGTTAACCCCTTAAATCAGTTCCTTTTTGCTTTGTTTTCTTACTCGTAGACGTTCTCCAAAAGGGATTGGATAAGCACAACTTTTATCGCAGAATACACAAATCACCTGCTCTAATTTTGAGCTCACAGTTGAACAGCGATGCCCAGAAGACCGCTGAAAAAAGTGCAGCTCAGGGTAAACTTGTCCACACTGACGACTCGGAGTTGGGTGATCAAGGAGAGAATCTTGGCAAGTTGTGTGCCTCAGATGAAACTCCGGAGGAGATTATAACTAAAGTTGTTGAGAGATGGTGAGTAGATTATGAACAAATCTTCTCCGATCGACCTAGTAAAATCCTATGAAGATTTCCATAAACATGATGCTGCACGAATCCTAAAAATTAGAGACTTACTCGTGATGAACAGATAGGTCTACCTCAGTCGAAAAAAGGCATAATCTAATCAGGAGCTTCTGAGCTCGTAGGTCACTTTCTTTGTGGAATGTGGAATGTTATACAGGGAAACTTTGGTTTTATTCCACTATGCTAAGTGATTGTCCTAAAAAGGAAAAAATATATAGATATATATTATCTAGTTGGATAATTTCCCTTTTTTTTTTACTTTTCCTTTTAAAAATGCATCCATATTTTGAGGAAAAACTCATTTCTGGTTAGTTCTGGAACAACAAGGTCTAAGAAAAAAAATTTTTTTTTCTTTCTTTTTCTTCGTACTGAAGGTATAACGAGATTTGTAAGTACGATTTTAGCAAGCCAGAATGGTCACCCTCAACTGGACATTTTACACAGATCGTTTGGGCCTCGACTTCACAACTCGGCCTCGGATGGGCCACAAAAGATGAAGACGGCTTCCTTTGTTATTATGTGGCAGGAAGATACAGCCCTAGTGGAAATATTGACAACAAATTTGAAGAAAACGTCATGAAAGGAAGTTTCGACCCATCATACTGTTCGTCAAAAAGGCGAAATCTTAAGAGTGTGCGAGATGTGATCTGGCCAAAATGGTATAACATAATTGTGAGAAGTCTCCACCAATACTAATTTAATCATATTTTAAAACTAAGTATAATTCCTTTTTGAAATAATTTACTCTTCCTTTGTAACAATTGACATGATAAGGAAAAAAAGATGAGGTACAACTCAGTAATTTACCCGATCCTTTGTCGTTATTATATACCACAAGCCGGGCTATTCCTAAAAGTGACTAATAAATTGCTGTTTTAGAGACAAGTTTCTTATAGACGACATGAAATACAAATTTATTTACCATTGCCATACTTTTGAAATAAGTTAATACAAAATGCCATCTTTAGACAAACACCATATCGGAAATGAATCAGTACGGTATTAAGTCGAGTAATTATGTTACTTGATGCTTTTAAGAGCGCTACAATTGTCGTTTGAAAACTTGCCAAATCAGCTACGCGTTGAACCGAATTGGTCTGAATTTTATGGAAGATTGGATCATCTGTAAGGGAGTTTCGTTCCATTACAGTCACATTAATTACTACGAAAACAAATTTCAGTTGAAATATTATTGCCATGGGTTGGGCTGAAAAGTGAAGATCTATTTGATAGGGCGGATTGCTCTTTTTGGGTGCGAATTTGCAATGGGAGGAAACCTCAAGACTACAAGTCACTATGTAAAAGGATGGCTATCGATGGACTGACTTCACCAGGAAAAAATGTAACGAAAATTTTCCCATCATCAGTGATACCTGACTGTCGACGATATTGATCATCACCATGATTGACAACGAATTTGTTTCTCAATGACTTTATGATAATGTTTCAAGGACCCAATTTGAAGTTTGTCAAGCTCAAGGAAGGCTCTCTGAGGGTTTTAAATCTATAAGAACCAAAGTTTATACACCAAGGCCAAATGTATGGTAGTCTAATGATACCAGCTTCACATTACGGTGATTAATTGGGTCGTGCTATAAGACTCAACAATTCCTAATCAGTCTAACTGAAGGATAAAAAGTTGCTGTGTTACGTCTTCATGTCGGCGTTGTATCAATTTATTTGCGCTAGCAAGGAGATGAATTCTCTCTTTCCCTGGGAAATAAAGTGTTACACTTCATTTACTCATTTATTCGTGAAATCACCCTGAGATTTTAAGACTAGGTTGGCTCTTCAGATATAGAGAAACTGACCAAAACTTAGCTGGAAAAGGAGGTATTGGCAAATAAATTCGTGTTTCGGGAAATTTCGTTTTATTCTAATATTTTTGTCAAACCAACTCTTCAAGACATCCACCAGTTGACAAGGCAGATACTTTTGCGACTGGTATATGAGCAGAGGTCTTGAGTTACTGAATTCGGTCACATGCTGAATACCAGCGCCTTTCAAGTGAGCGTAGAGTTAATATTGATGGTGGTTTTGTTCAAATATTTGCACAAATTGAAACAAAAGCAATTCAGTTATTTGCATTTTTGTGACGCCTTCCTGAAGCCTGGAGTAGGTAAGTTTTGAGGAGGATGTGGCTTTTTCTGTTTTCCTGAGGCAAAATCGATACATTTCCTGAGCTGTGACTTATCTACCGCAAGGTTACTAAACGACTTCATTTCGTAGCAGATCTTGCTTTCCAGAAGTTTTTTTCTTAAAGCTTAAGGAATGAACCGAATTAGCCATTAAGAGACAGCTACTAACGATTTTTCCTTAAGTGTTAAAAAGTAGTGAAAACGTTTAAATAACGAAAGTCTGATTCAAATTCTGAGGTGATAGACGAGTATTTCACGAATTAGAAGATTCATTTGCTTTCCGTACATCGTTTTACATCTCCAGACAAAACAAATGAAATCTAACTTTACTTTGAGGGTGACGCAATAAATGTTTAAATGTATTGAGAAAATTAAAAGTGGAAAAGGACAGATTTATCTCAATGTCTCCCTCTCACAAAAATTGTCATTATTCAAGACCACGATACACAGTATACTGGCATGGGAACGTTTGAAATGTCTTTGTGGTTTTAAAGTTACAGATTTCGGACAAGTTGGGTGTTTATGGTCGCCTTTCTAAAGGTGCCAAGTCTACGTCGAACATCACTTCATCTAGCCTATGTGGAATTTAAAATGATACCTGGAGCGTTACACAAAGCTGTGCAAAAAAGGCATGAACTAATTCTGAGAGTTATTTCGCTGAAATGCTCCATCTCAAAATCATTTGTATTTAAGCATAGATAAGAATTTGTGTTTTTGTATTTGAATAATCAACTTTACACCGAAAAGTTCTCTATTCTCTTACGTATAGCCATCATGAGCTGGCCTTTCATTTTCCTGATAATTCATGCAACATATGCCGCGAATGGTAAGTTAAAATTACATTTATAGTGTAAAGATCGTTTTATTCACTATAATATTTAATTAACAAGTACAGAGGAAGGAATAGATCTTTTTAAAGTTTTGTCAAGGCTAAACTCAATTAATTTTCCATAATAACTTTGAATCAATTTCGAACAAAAATTATATTTATCGTTGTCAAAATTTCAGGGTTATTGTTATTATTATTAGTGGTGTTAGTCATGGATTACTATCATTAGTATATGTGCCACACTGTGTTGGTGAAAGGGGTGAATATTTACCTTGCTGCTTCGCGGTTGGGTAAATATCTACGACTATTCTCCACTTCGGTGAATAATTGTCCACCATTGTCAGCAATATCATCATTATCTGTTGTTCAATTATCAACATTATAATCTTATCAAAATCATTATTACTATGTTTACTATTACCATTTTTATTATTACCATTAATATCATTAAAAACAATGGGAAGGATAAAGAAGGTAAACCTATTGTGCCGTTAGGCCCTTTCAAAATCTTAAAGAAAATTTTATTTTCCTTTCCCACACCAAGACTCAAACGGTTTTAAGTTAATAAGAGGAATAAAACATTCGAAGTAATATTTAAAATAAATTCAAAGTGTGTTTCTGCTTTGGGACCCAAAATTTGTATATTCAGATAAAACTGACATACTCTTATCCTGAGTAGATTTCTGATACTGTTCCTAACTCTCGTTGTTTTATTTTCATATTATTTTTCACGTTGTTGTCATTTGCTGGAAACAAAGTTAATAAATGCATCTATAGGAAGCATCCACAAAATTCAACTATGTAATGAGCATACTTTTAAATTCGCAGAATTTACAATCCAAGGAAACGGTTCATATGAAGCTGGGAAATTAAAAGTAGACCTTCACCTTGAGTCGAATTTGAGCTTAACAGCTAAGACAACTGTTCCCCCAACTTCAATGGTGAAAACTCTTGCTCCTACTATAAACGCGACAACAATTTCTCCATCTGAAACAATTCCCCCCTCTACGCTACCTTCAACACCGGTTCCTACCGTAAATTCTACGACGATTGGGTCCGTGACAGGGAACCCACCGACACCTACACCAACAACAACAAGCGCAACAGTGAATGTCACTACCCCAACACATGTACCAGAGTATCTTGATGGAAAACTTTCAACAAACTCCGAGCCATGTAAGTAAAATATTCAACCCACATCAGTCGAGAACATTCAAATGTAGCAACATATTTCAGTTCGTAGCGTCCATTAACCTTTTCATACATCATCAATGGATAAACCCTTTTCGAAATGGCAGTGGGTCGGGCAGTGACAACTTTAGTAATAGTGGCAAGGTTAGCTGTGGGAGATGACCCCAGAAATATTACGACATCGGCATCGGAAAAAGTTGAGAGGGGTTAGCGGCGATGGGTTGGAAAAAGTTTAGAGGGGTTAGCGGCGATCGGAATAGAGTATTGGAGAGAGTGGAATGGATAGTGGAGGTAGCAATAGTATTGGTGACAGAGGTGAGAAGCTCATTTGGTGACAGTGGAAGTGGCAGTGGTAGCAGAGGGCAATATAGAGGCCACGGTGGTGGTCTGAGACAGGTGCAATCGAAATAAGGGTTTTGAAAAGGAAATAAGCTTAGAACAACTCCCTAACCATGAGCTTGGATTTAGTTTCAGCTTTAGATCGTACAGCCCTAGAGCTTCACAATTACTATCGTTCTATCCACGAGGCGCCTCTCCTGACCCTCGATACAAACCTCCGAAAAGATGCTCAAGAATATGCTCTCAAAGTTGCTAGAAGTCAAATGCTACGCCCAGAACAAAATTTTGTACTCAATTCTAAAAACGAAGGTGAAAACCTGGGATTTAGATGCTCGACAACACGACCTGATCCTGGAAAATCTTTGAGACAGATAATGAAGCGATGGTAAGAAATCCTCGGGCTACTGACCCTAACGTCTTTTAAATCTTGTCTTCTCGTACTTTTTCCCGTCTATGACCCTAGTTTCCCCTCATTTTTCATATTTACCGACTCAGGTGTGTATACTGTCTCCAGTAGAATTGTTTCTTGCGCTCCTCTTCATTGTCAATGATTGGATACGTTATAAATTTAGTGATGTGACCGTCAAACCCAACAAATTACAATTTGAAAAAACTTCCCTTAAAAAAATATATTAACAAAAGAATTCTGAATGTTTTAGAACATTTGCGGTATAGCACAATGTTGAGTGTCTCGTTAAAAAAGTAGAACTCGATGAGGACCGAGATAAATATAAAATTATTCATTCAATTTAATTTATTTCTCCTCAGGTATGACGAAGGTTGCCAATACAACTTTCAAGCACCATCGACAGATAGGTATTCCTTCAGACATTTTACACAAATGACGTGGAATGGAAGCAAAAGGCTGGGCGTTGGCATCACCTATGGGAAAATCAACAATCTGCATTGCCTGTATTTCGTCGCACGTTATAGACCCCGCGGAAACCTGGGAAACAAGCTCATATATATCAATAACGTGAAGAAAGGAGTTTTTGATTCGTCTTTTTGCAGACCAATAGCAAATCAATCGCCTAACCAAGAAGTTATTTTGAAAGAATAATCTGAAATTAATTTTACGTTTACAAAACAAACGAGAAGAAAACTTTAATTTTTCTTTAACATATGCTAAATATGTATTTATGGGAAGTGTGTTATGACTTGGAACAGAGTAATTAAGGACATCTCGGTTTCAATACTGATACGTAGTTCAGACAAACCATGTTTAAGACATTAAAAGCTGTTCAATAAACAATACAGCTGTATTTTGAAACTGATATCTAAACGCGTGGTAAACTTATGAGCAGTCAATTCCTCACCTCAAGTGGCTGAAACACACGCAGTTCGGCTTTTAAGAGGGATGTTTGTCGTCTTCATACGAGCGTGGGACAGAAAAAAAACATTCGTTTCCTCATGGAGATTCAGAAAATTTCACTTTTGTCAAACGCTCGAGACGAGACGAAAAATGTCCTTTTCTCTATTTCGTGGTCGAATATAATATTTCTTCCTTTCTCTCTTCTATTACAATTCTACTTTGATGTCGGACACTTTTTCTCTTGATGGGTCGATCAAAACTCCTTTGTCTTCCATTTTGGGGAAAAATGGTACATATCAGGCCCTTAGCATTTGCTCAACAGGTTATGGTCACCTGTAGAGAAGTGCTACGGTTGCTCTTTGGAACACCTTAGCTTCAGCACGACATTCCTGAAATTTAGGTTGAGTGCAGTGTTCTGCGGTTTCCGATAAAGATCTGCTGTATTCCTATCCGCTGGAATGCATCAAATTGCTTTTTAGTTCCTACCGTTAGAACAAGCTTGTATCAGGTCGTAAAACTAATTTTAAAAGTAATCTAGGATTACATTGGCTCAGAACGCTTTTCGATTATTCTAGACAACGCCCGCCAATCTCCCAAACAATCAGGTGGAAAATTAAAACCAATAACTTGGTTAAATGCATAAAGGGGGCGAGTTTCTGAAGAAAGCGTGCTAATCGCTGCGTCGCTGGAGGTTTTACAAGATTGGTTTTATGAACTGAGTCGCTAATATAAATTAAAGGGTTTTTAAAGCTGATGTTTCGAATTTCAGCGCAAATTACGGAGGGCTAACGAGCAAATGGCGAAGGGAAGGATTAACCATCGTTCTGACGGATGCAAAACAGCAGCTTAAGTTATGGATTAAGGATACAAAAGCGAAATCGTGATGTTGACAGGAGTCCAACCCGCAGCATCCGCCCAGTATTTCAGATGCTTTATCACTATGCCTGAAATTAAAAAGGCATCTTTCGTAATGCTATGATTTGAATACACGCATAGCTGTGTCACTGACCGGCGGAAAAATATTTCAGACGAATTGTTGCGATTATCTACTTTATAAGCTATGGTTTAAGGTATGTGCATGTGTTTCGATACCCTCGATACCACTACAGTTCTCTTTTTTTCAGAATCTTTTTATTACAGGTAATTTAGTGTTAACAACTGGGTTGAAAACGTAAATTAGCCACCGTATAGGGTAAAAAAGTTCTCTTTTTCAGAATCTTTTTATTACCGACGTTGCACCACAGTTTCTTCAGAAACTTACCCTTTATTCTTTTTATTACAGTTGTAAGTCTAGATTTATTTTTGAAGTGATTAATCTATCCAATTTTTTGTTACCTATTCGAAAACTTCTCTGTATTTAAAGACTAAAATAAAGAACTTTACTTCCTATAAAGAACTTTACTTCCTATATACGTTATTTCTAAGGTTACTCGGTGAGGTAGCAGCATAAAAAAACACGACTAGTGGCACGTTAACAGCTCGTTTTGTAAAACGACCAGTTAATTGTCCAGGCGTCGGGAGAATAAACTCACACCCCGGTTTCAACAATGGTCATGAATCCAAAAACACAAGCTGTAGGTGCTAGATGTTATGAAACTTATTTTCTCGTCTTACATACTTCTCAAGAAGACCTATGCTTTGTTGAAATGAATATCTCATGGACCAAAAACTGACCACAAACAGAAAAACAGCAACCTGTAACCAAAATTTTTTAGAATGACAAAAGCTTTGGTTATTGTTTACTCAGACAATATTGCTGGTCCTGATATCCTATATTTGCCTAAACCTGTTTTAAGTGAATAAGTCCATAAAATTATTACTCGTTTTATGTGGCTGGAATTTTTGTTGGTTCCAGGTAAGTTATGGCTTCTTAATCTCGTAGATAATATTTACTGTTTTACTGATACTAGGATTTTAGGAGGGATGTTTGGATTTTATTTTAGTGTTGCTTATGTTTTGGCTGTGACTATTAGCAACTAATGGGATCACAAATAAAATAAGGGATCGATTGAATACATTTTAGGATTTAACATGAACGCGTATTTTTTATTACTTTCTTTTAATTTCTTCTCAGATCATGATACATATTTGATACTCTTTATTCCCGTGACATTTTTTCTGTTAACCAATAGCCTTTGGTTCTTACTTGTACTGGATTCACGATTCTTCTGATATTGATATTTTAAGGATTCAGGGATAATGATAACGCTGCCCTGGCCAAAGTTCATAGTCGAATTAATGTTCTAACCACGGCTCTCTCTTTAATTGATCATTTTTACGCTTCAGAATGAAAGCTGTGCAACTGTCTGTCATATACCTTTCCATTTTCATAAGCGTTTACTGGAACTATGGTGAGTGGTTACTTTGAAACAAACTGTCACTGTAGTCCTAGACTACAAAGCCGTAACATAAACTCAGCCTCAGGATGAACGTTATTTGCACGGTGCCTCTTACACTTTAATTTTTCCTTATAAGAACTAGAAGTTTAAAATGAGAAATATTCAGGGCCGGGTTGCTCAACACACAATTAACCTAACCAGAGATTAATGTAAATTTTGAACTTAGTTAATAACTCTGCAAAGGGCATTTATTATTTTGAATTTTGTCCCGTTAGTTTCGAGTGATATTGAGATACGAACTAACAAAACGTTAACTATCATATGCGCTCTAAGCCAAGGTTGCCTCTAAATCCTATAATAACGTTAGCCCCCTTTTCGAACCCGGCCCAGTTGTTCAGTTACACACTACGTATTGGAAGATCTCATGCTATAAAAACTGGAAAAAATGAAGAAAATGAAAACCTAGTGTAAATACTGTGTAAATTTGTAAAATTCACATGGGGTAGAAGGAAAACAATTATGTTCAGAGGAAGATTGGCTCTCGGGAAAAACCGAGAACCAAATCCAGTTGACAGCATAGTGGAGAAGTTTGAATGGAAAAAGGTTCATATACGTAATCGTAAGTTCTTAATATGTTCTTCTCTTGATAAAGTCCAAACAACAAAGCGAGGCTCAGTGAAGGGTACGAAAAAGGACCAGTTCACCATAACAGGAAATGGAACAACTAAAGGAGGTAAAATGAAGATATTCGTTCACGTGCAGACTACTGGCAAAAATCCAAATAAAGCAGTGCCAGGTAAAAAACAAGGGAAGGAAGCTCCCAATGTAAAACTTGGTCAGTCTGGTGAAACTCCGAGTCCATCACCTACAACGACACCACCGATGTCTACTCAGGTCACATCCGCATCACCAAAACCCAAGAAAGGGAAACACTTTCAAGTCACACCGAAACCACCAATCAGTGGCAAAATCCAAAGCCTGAAACCCAGCCAAAGTAAGAAACTCGCACCAAGTCAGAGTATGAAAAAATATAGTGAAATAAAATCGGTATCAAGTTCAGTAAATAATGCAGCGAGCTCCACTGTGGACTCTGCTAAAGTCACACCAACACCCTCTGCGAATCTTAAGTCCTCTATAACGACCAGTACTGGTGTCCTTCCCTCTCATAACTCTGCAATATCCACGCCTTCGCCTCAGTCCAGCGGAGCGGTGCCGGTGCAGAGCAAGCAAGCAGCTACAAGTGGCTCACCCGGATCCTCATCGCAACCTACAAACAAGCAAACTAAAACTAGTCGGTCATCGGCATCTTCACCGCTACCTGATAAATCTTCGAGTCAGGTCTCAGTGCAGCCAAGTGCTACAAAAAGTGTAGCTATTCAATCTTCATCTATGTCCACTTTAGCTCCTCCTTTATCTGTGCCATCGGCTGTAATCTCTTCAACTCCTCTTTCCATTACCCCAAGTGCGTCAAAAACAGTATTTAATCCAGCTTCATCTCCCGCTAGTCTTGGTCCTTCCTCGACACTGCCACCTCCAGTTAAATCTCCTGGTGCAGGCACATCAAGCGCTGCAGTTACCCAGACATCCTCTCTCCTTGGGTCCAGTCCTTTCTCCTCTCCTGGATCAACCATTTCACCATCAAAGTCTTCCCTAACAAACCCAGTAGCTACGAAAAACCCAACAACTCCTGATTTTACATGTAAGTGATTTATTTCCTTGCAATTTTTTTTTAACCTTTAAAATCTGTCAGTTTATATATCTGCGCGCATGCACTCCTCAGCATACGAACAGCAACCGTTCAATGCCAGTTAAATTACAAAGAAACCTTGGTGAATCTGAATCCTGTCACTAGAAATCTTAGATATCGTGAAAAGGTGTACCAGAAATAATTGTGTGGTTTGATATACTGACCACCAATACTGAGATCGAGCGACTTGAACAAAACCTTTTGATGATCTCGCAAGCTGATTTCTATGTTTCTTCGTAACGCCACGAGGGATACCATAACATGTTCCCAAAGAGAGCTACACTAACATCAAGGAATGCATGTGGAGCATCTTTTCCCTTAATTTGTCAATAGGTGTTCAAACCATTCGAGAAGTGACATCATCATACACTTGAGTCATGACTAACTACATAATACAAATATTTAGCCAAGCCTAAAACTGTAGCTAAAGTTGGTAATAGCCCTCTACTTTGTTGAAACTCTCAGCAAGCTCTAGAAGAGTTTATTGACAACAATTGAGGGACCAGTAATTTTATTAGTTGGGAAGGGGATGGGGAGAAAATTATTAGCGAGGGATTTGTTTTTGATGTTATAATTGTTTTACGTTCGTTCAATACCTGAAGTCTTGAACTGATCCTTTCTCACAGTTTCCCGAGACGAGCATATAGCCCTGGATGAACACAACTTCTTCCGAAGCTTACATAAATCGGTTCCACTCAGTCTTAACAAAGATATGGTATTGGAGGCACGCAAGTTCGCCAAAAAGATATCTGTCACTGGAAATCTCACACATGAATCGCCTGATAAACTGAAGCAAATAGGTCAAGGAGAAAATCTTGGATTGGTATGTTCTAAGATTGAACTCTCAGCTGCGCGGGTTGTAAGGAAAGTCATAGACACATGGTAAGGTTTATACAAATAAAGATACCCTACAGGGATTCTGTTATTGTATTTTATCCAAAATCGCTGAATTTACATATGCACCGTGATGGTGCAAGATAGTAAGGTATCAAAAAAACACTTTGATAATCCCTAGACGCACTGCTCACTCACACGGCGTACAAAAAAGATTTTCAAGGATGAATTTGCAACCTCCGTTTGACGTTCGTTGAAGACATATCCAGGGGTGAAAAGCGGTTTTCAAGAAATTGGGGTCTTTCACAAACATGTCTCATTTTCGCGACAAATTCAAGACGTTTAAACCATGATAAGGGGTCTGTATGTGAGGAATTACACAATAGAAAATTCAATTCAAAGAGCATTTACAGGTCCGAACAGGTATCTACTAGGAAAGAGCAACTCGATTTTATTTCTGATTTCCTGCTCTTATTCCACTTATAGGCACAGAGAGGCGTGTAAATATAACTTTCAAGATCCTGACCCGATGTCAAAAAAAGCAGCCCATTTCACGCAACTTGTGTGGGGTGCTTCCAAACAACTCGGCGTCGGTGTTGCTGCGGCAAAAAATGCGGAAAAAAACTGCATCTACGTTGTTGCTCGTTACAAGCCTATGGAAGCCTTAAAGACCAAAGAGCAGCTTAAGACTAATGTTAAAAAAGGATTATTTGATGCTTCAATAGACTGTGCCGCTACCTCAAAGAAAAAGTTTTTTATCGCTGTTTAAAATCATTGATTCTTTTCCGCTTGGTCGCCGAACCTTACTCGTTAATTGGAGGGTATTGTTAAAAAAACGCGTCAGTCAAAAGCATAGTGTAAGAAGAATAAACCGTAAAATTCTAACTAATGACTTTTTGTTGGTTATTGTAACATCAAAAGAAATGTGAAGTACCGCTCCTAATTAAGTATCGCTCTAAATTTCTTGAATTGCTATCGAATTTCAAAGATTCGTACTCTTGAATTGCAATGTTGATATTCATAAGGGTTCAGATCCCCTTTCAATTTATCTACAATTAGTGAGTGTCAAATACTTGTCAAAGTAACAAATTCTGTGAATTGGAGCGAAAATTAACAAGCAATGATTTATATTAACAGTATTCGCAACAGGTTCTACTGGCTATGGTTTTCTCAAAGCTCTTAACTGGTCAGGGAATGTCAAATACTTTATTGCGGCTCAGTGGTTCACAAAGGCCCAGTACGTAGAGCAGGCAACCGTCAGTTTTATATTGTCTTTTCATGGTAAAGCGATGTAGATTGTCGAGTGGCTATAAAAGTTAATAAAATAAATGAGGAGATGATGAAATATGCAGAGCAGATCACTAGGGTAATGAATGAAGTTTTTGGCTCACAAATGATGATTAAAAGCTGTAACTATTTTTTGCTTTGCCCGCAGTGATCTTTAAATATAAACAAGCTAGGCAACCCATCGTGATTCGCTCGCAGCACCTACGAAATACGACATTTTAAAGTTAAGTGTGGGATATTGATCAAATGAAGCCTTTAAGTGCTACTGTGGTTCTTTCTTTATTCACTCCGAGCTTTCGCCGTTCTACGGCATCATCAGGGAGGACGATAAAATATTTGCGCTATGGTTTTAAACGTTGGAGGTGCCACTGTAAATTAGCATAGTGTAAAACTAGCCAGTAGGACGCATGAAAACTAATGGCGTGATAAAATGTTCTAAAATATGTGTTAAAAACAGTTAATTAAAATAAAAAATTTTAACACATATTTTGGAACATTTTATCAGTTAATTAAAATAAAAATTTTTAACACATATTTTAGAACATTTTATCACGCCATTAGTTTTCATGCGTCCTACTGGCTAGTTTTACATTATGCTAATTTACAGTGGCACCTCCAACGTTTAAAACCATAGCGCAAATATTTTACCGTCCTCCCTGATGATGCCGTAGAACGGCGAAAGCTCGGAGTGAATAAAGAAAGAACCACAGTAGCACTTAAAGGCTTCATTTGATCAATATCCCACATCATTACGACATGCTACTAAAGGACACGTTCAAACGTTTATTTAAAGTTAAGTGTAGTTATCATTTTGAAACTTCGACTTTCTTGTAGAAGCTTGCTGAAATTTTCTCCGTCCACAATCAACTGTTCTATTTATGTCAATTGCCAACGAAGGTTTTTCTTTGTTTTGTGTTTATCCCAAAATATCACATTCCTTTTTTCGTTTGAAATTCTTTCACCCCCACCAATAAATTAATTATAATGAGTAGAAGTTACCGGGCATAACTTCAAGGTTTGTGGACGGCTGAGTAGTGAACCTCGACTTCACTCCTCAAGGTGGCCGGTTTAAGATATAAAGTTGGGAGACCAGAAATGACGATGATTAAATTTCACCTTTGAATACCTTCACCTGCTGATATTGGTGGCACAATGTCGGATGGGCGTGACTACTAAAAAACTTTACGACTGTTAGAAAAAGAGGAAAACATGACATCATGGTAATCACCAACACACCGAGAACTATGTTCCGTTTATATGCGTTGGGTAGTTAATTGGTGCCGTTAGAGTGGTGTCCCCATAGACATCGTTTATATAAAGGTTAGTCGAATTTTCTTCGAGTAAACGAAAGTGACAATTTTAATTTATTATTTATTTGATACTATTTACAAATACTTATTTCTTTCGTAACCTTGACTCAAATAGAAAATTTGTTTGGATTCGGAGGGGAGTTAAAGGCATCATTATTCCCTCTGCCTTCAGAGCGTCGCTTCAGAAAAAACAAGTGCACAAGCCCCCAAAATAGAACCACTTTTTGTTGAAGTATTTTACCGTTTCAATAACATGTGAAATCAGAATAAATTATATACTTTTCCCAATCCAAGACTAGAGGAACTGAGAGAATGAAACATTGTATTTTGAATGGTTGAAGTTTTATAATGACGTTCCGTAGAATTGCAAGAAAGCTGTCTTTAATGGGTGGATCTTAGAGCAAATATCATGAAAACGAGGAACGGTGGTTTATTGTCACAAATTAGTTTTGAGTCAGATTCATTTTTTTATTCTTTTTTTTCTTCGAACGCAAAGGAGGAATCACTGGATGCACGTTCTAGTAAGAATTTGGGTCAGCATGGGTGTATTCACGTTCCACCACACAATGTGGGCATGTATTTTGCACTGTTTCGTGGTTACACTGGGTAGCACAATTTCCGCTACAACAGGTAAATAGAATGATATCGCGGTAGAAGCTATGAACTAATAATTTCTTGCTTAAGATGCCCTTCCACAATCCTTCCGTAAGATGTAATATCTTCATCGCATACCAAAGTATCCTGACGAATTTGCAAGAAAATTCATAGCAACTAGAAGGGAAATTACACTACCCGTACTGCACAATTATAAATTTCATTCATCTCTTCAGCTACGGCCTCTGGATTATCTCTGAGAGATTTTGACAAGGTGGATAAATTTGTCCCGGAATCGATATCAGGAAAACAAAGGATGACAATACCGCATTTTTTACAAAAGTTTAACGGAGATTATTCACTGAGTTCTGCTTTGAGATTGCCGTTAAAGCACAGGATAATTTCACAGAAGTCAAACGCTTCGAAAACACAGTTGCATCATCCTTCAGGTAAGAATTCATTGCCTTTCTACAAGGTGAAGCAAGAAGTTAACGGCAGGTTACAAAATGGGTATGACAATAAGCAAATGCAAGACCTTGGACACCAGAGAGGAAGGAATGGCTATAATAATACCAGTAACACCCACAAAGCACTTGAAATGGTAGGACCACCTCTTACCCTCAATGCTCAATTGAAAGGGCGCAATACACCTCACAATGGTAGGATGGGGGAGTTGTTTCACTCATCAAAAGGTCCTGTTATACCAACCGCAAGGGTTGTGGGAAGAAAACTAAAGAAAGACAGTCCTCTCACGAATTACAGCAACAAAAGATTGCCTCTCACAAAGCAATTGAAGGACGCATCAGCCCTAAGAGAGAAGACACCTTTAGACGAAGAAATAATCGTGATGGGAGCGCCATTAATATTCTCTAGAGGAAATAAAAATGTTCTCACCATCTCAAAACATACGGAAGGAAATGCAAGTAACATTTTTCGGAATAGAACTACTTCCTTTCATCAGAAAGCTTATACCCCTCAGAAAATTCAAAGGGTGAATAAGACAAATACGTCTCTGAATCAGTTGGCTTTGCATACCAATACAACACTTAGAAATGACAAGGAGAGTAGTTTAGCAATGAGTCCTAAAAACATCCAAAATCACACCCCTTCTGCTGGGAGTTTCCACAAACAAGAAAATAATAAAATGGAAAATCTCTTGAGACACAACCGAAATAAAACTTCAAATCAAAGCGGAAGTCATAAAGAAACATTTGGAAATAGAACAGTAGCAATCGCAGGTACTTTTCTTCCTAATAACGTAAGTTTAAAGCATCTTGACTCGGCTCACTTTGACAAACAAACATATTCTAAAAGTGGGAATCAACTCCAGAGCATAGAACAGAAACAAACAGACTTAAACTATGAGACTGAACAGGGCTCTAATGCTATTATTAAAGAAGAAAGCCTTGGTAACAATACTTCTGGTCACCAAGAATACAACGCAAAAGAAAATCACGGCAGTGAAGAAAGCAACTCCATATCCACAGATAAGGTTGGTTACGGACAAGAAAACCTTCCACCTTTTCCTGAAGAAAATCCTGAAGAAAAAGACGTCGAAGATTTGCAAATTGCCAACGATGATAGCAGTAACGTAAGCAACGACCGTGAGGAAGGAGAAGCGGATGGTCAGTTTCAAGGTAAAGCGATAACCCCAGCTTCAAACCAGAGGTACATGCCAGTTGATGACTTTGGATCACCTTTTTATGGAAACGAGACAGGTAATTAAAAGCGTCTTTTGAAGTTTGACTAGGAATCTTGATACTTATATAGACTCCTAATAGCTAACGGGAGTACACTTGCAAACTTAAAGGCAGGATTATTATTCATCAGTGCCTTTAATCATAATTACCTCATATTTCCAATATGATACGTAGCTGTTTTAAGATCAAATTATATTTCACGTCTGTTTCCGCTACTTTGCTTGGTTTGCGTTCAAAATTAGTCGCCATTGTGAAATGGAACGTCCGTTGACCTTCATTTCACAGACGAGTACTTTCAGCGAGACGCCCTTGCCGCTCACAACAGGTATCGAGCCTTACACAATGCTCCTCCTCTGCAACTAAGCCAAGAGCTGTCCGCGGAGGCTGAAAAGTTTGCCAAAAAACTAGCTAGAATGGGTGTTGCGCACCATGAACTAAACCGTAACCTTCGGAAGGAGGGTGAAGGTGATAATGTGGCAAGAGGATGCAGCGAGTGGGGAGGATTGACATCTGCTGGAGCTGTCCATAGATGGTGAGTGTGTGCATCTCATTGCGCATGCGTAAAGTTGCACAAGTAGACCGGCTGAAAAGTCTTTTCTGATTTCCTAAATATTTTTTGGGGCCTAAAAACATACAGTATACTTTCGCATACGTTTATTTGTTGAAGAGAATCCTTTATTTTGAAAAGGGTCGGAAAAATAGTTAACTTTTCTTAGCGTTTCACTAAGTATCGCCGGATATTCTGGAATGTAAAGCAGGCTTTCAATTCAAGCAAGCACCATGAAACGCAGTTTAAACAACCTCTATGTTACTCAAATGTTTTTAAAAAAAATAACTTCAGGTATAGCCAAGTCTGTTATTTTAACTGGAGCAAGAGCGCCATTCAACCCGAAGCCAAGAATTTCATGCAGTTAATATGGAAAGGAACCAGTCACATGGGAATAGGAAGAGCATTTGGCAAACGCCGTAGCCTACCCTGCACTTTCATCGTAGCACGCTACAGACCTGGTGTGATGAATGCATTCGAAATGGACAGTAACGTAGATAAGGGTTCATTCCTGTCTTCATATTGTAATGCGGATAAGGACGAAGGCTTAATGTCAACAGGATATCCAAGTACATTTTTCCAGGAGGGAGCTGCTAAACAAGATGACCAACCATTTCCTGAAGCTCAACCTCTTGGTAGTTTCCAATACACCGCAGATCCTCCAAGTAGCGTATCGTTCGTCCCTCTGGGTCCATGGGAAAAAACTATGGATACACAAGATGTGCGAGACTTATCGCGGGTACAACCCAACACCAAGACACTTTACAGTTTGTCACCTCGTGTAAATTTACCAGAAGCTACCCTTGACGACGATATGGACAATGAAGATGATGTCTCGATCACGGGAGATGATGATGACTGGAGGAGGACATATAAGTCACCCACGGATAATGATGACATAGTCATTGATGCAAAGAAGTCTACAATAAAGAAGACAGAACAAACCTCTCGAAGAAAGGAATGAACATTAAAGGCAAAGACAGTTTAATATACACTTAATGTACGGTCCCAAGGGAAACAGTTTTTGTTTCGAGGGAAAACAAAACTAACTAGTTTCCCGCGGGACCATACATTAAGTACTTTGTTATATATTTAGACTTTCCCTCAAACAATCATATGGCAAAAACAAACAAAGAAAAACCGCACAACTTCTTTACTAACAATCGTCAATCCTGCGGAATGAATAAGTCCTAACTTAACTTCAAATGTTTCGAAGTACATGGAAAAGTAAAACATGCTTTTTATAACCTCAATAAGGAATACAAAATCATTTGGAATTGTAACAATTGAAGGTAACATTTGCTCCAGAATAAACCTTAATATTGTTTTATTCGGCGCGCGGGCAACAACTGCGCAATTGTATCCCGGTCGGGATCCATTTGAATTTGATCAGTAGCACGTGACCAAGAATCAACCAATCACCGTGCTCGTTTTGTTGGGGAAAGTCTAGGTATATAACAACAACAATTATGACCGTACTGGAGCCCTTATGATCACGTGGTTAGCTAGGCGTCAAAACATTCTAAATGTTCACAAGTGATCTCTTAAATCATCACTAAGATTTTATTCTTTTGCCAGGCATAATATTCAAGGAGCAAACTTTCGTCATGGGCCAAATTTGATTCCAAACCTATACGACAGAAACTTTCAACTCCCTCAAAGGAATCCTATCAAAACCTTTATATTACTTACCTCTGAGGTTATAGCGGCAGGTTGTAGACTTCATTGTACGTTAACATGCACTAAATTAAATAAATGAAAGAAACTGTGGTTCTGCGTTGGTGGGGTGTATTATTAGATAATTTTGTTTTACTGAGTCAGTCAGTATGTGAATGAAAGTGATCCTCGCAGTAATGCACACTACTTGAGCGGTAGTGAAAATGAGGCCTTATAAAAATTCAAGCCCGTACGGAATTTGAACCCATGACCTCTGCGATACCGGTGCAGCGCTCTACCAACTAAAATAAGAAGCCAACTGGGAGCTGGTTATTACGTTGGTTCCAAATAAACCCGTGAAGTGATGAATAAACGGTTAAGAATATATGAAAGTCATATATTTGAACTGTAGATATAAAGACGTGAATGAAAGTGATCCTCGCAGTAATGCACACTACTCGAGCAGTAGTGAAAACAAGGCCTGAAAAAAACATTCAGGCCTGCACGGAATTTGAACCCATGACCTCTGCGATACAGGTGCAGTGATCTACCAAATGAGCTAACAAGCCAATTGGGAGCTGGTCATTATGTTGGTTCCAAATAAACCCGTGAAGTGATGAATAAACGGCTAAGAATATATGGAAGTCATATATTTGAACTGCAGATAAAGACGTAAATAAAAGTGACCTCGCAGTAATGCACATTACTTAAGCAGTAGTGAAAACAAGGTCTGAGAAAAATTCAGGCCTGTACGGGATTTGAACCCATGACCTCTGCGATACCATGCAGTGCTCTACCAACTGAGCTAACAGGCCAACTGGGAGCTGGTCTTTATGTTGGTTCCAAATAAACCCGTGAAGTGATGAATAAACGGCTAAGAATATATGAAAGTCATATATTTGAACTGCAGATAAAGACGTGAATGAAAGTGATCCTCGCAGTAATGCACACTACTTGAGCAGTAGTGAAAACAAGGCCTGAAAAAAACATTCAGGCCTGCACGGAATTTGAACTCATGACCTCTGCGATATCGGTGCAGCGCTTTACCAAATGAGCTAACAAGCTAATTGGGAGCTGGTCATTATGTAGGTTCCAAATAAACCCATAAAGTGATGGATAAACGGCTAAGAATATATGAAAGTCGTATATTTGAACTGCAGATAAAGACGTGAAGGAAAGTGATCTTCGCAATAATGCACACTACTTGAGCAGTAGTGAAAATAAGGCCTGAAAAAAACATTCAGGCCTGTACGGGATTTGAACCCATGACCTCTGCGATACCGGTGCAGCGTTCTACCGACTGAGCTAACAAATAAACCCGTGAAGTGATGAATAAACGGCTAAGAATATATGAAAGTCATATATTTGAACTGCAGATAAAGACGTGAATGAAAAATTAGAGCAGATAAGATATCATTTCAATCAATAAGAGGGGAACATATTTGACGCAGAAATAATTTATCCCCCTCTCTGTCTCTGATGCATTATGGGAAGTGTGAGTGGTTTTCAAGGAAGGCAACAGTGAAAACGAATTCACCAAGAAAGGTAAGAAATTATATATCTGAAACAGAATAATCTTACGCTTTCTTGAACTAAAACAACGGTTACCCCAGTTTAAAGGGAAAAGCGATTAACTGCGTCGATAGGATACTAAATTCAATTTAATGGGACGTTTTGATTATCTTAGCCAATTCAACCGGCTTACAAAGTCAATAACCCAATGCGCACAAATAATGGGCTTAACATGATATTAGATCAAAGGAAATTTCTTCATGTTTTTCAATGGCAGTTGCGATATTTTCTGAACTTTTTTACCACGGACCAAATCAGTTTTTGCAAATTTCTGATTCTGCCACTTGACCCTTCGTAGGAAACCCGTCTAACACCAATATACTAAAGGAGCTTTCTGTTACCGGTGTTGGTAGAATGCCTACAGAAATATCGATACGTATCTCCGATACAGTTTAAAAGACATTTTTTTCTAAACCCCCTCTAAGCACCACCCAGCAGACTTAAGGAAATTTATTTAGGTTTATCGAAATTATTATATCAACTATGCTATCCACACATACCTGGGAGTTAGTTTGAAAGAACGTTTCTGTTAGAAGCATTTAAATTATATTTCATTCTTATTATATTTAAGAATTCTTCCTTAGACCGAGAACTTTTTTGTCGCCTGAAGAAAATAAGAATAGTTGCATATCTTTAATTGCATATGTTTATTCACCACGGGTCATCTGTAGTAACTAGAGATTTTGCTTGTTGTCATATTTACGAAGCTGGTGTGCAACAGGTTGTAGAGGCCAGCAAGATTTCCGTCTAGGCGGTTTCCTTATGAAGTTCTTGTAACCATTAGTCAATAACTTATCTACGAGTTGCATTTCAATTAATTTGCTTCGTCACTTAACGTTTGTCTAAAGTTCACAGCTGCTTCACCATTGGAGTTTCGAGCAGTTAGCTAGCGTCGCTTGGCTAGAATACCTGTTAGAACACCTTGGTGACAAAAAATACCGTCGGTCCAAAAATAAGTGCTTGTCTGCGGAGAATCTAAGACGTTTAGACCAGACAAGAAATGATTTATTTTTTCACTTTTTCTGAGAATGTCAGCAGCTTCCATTAATTTATTTTTAGCACAATAAACAATCTTTAGTCGGAAAAGTAAAAGATGTTAATTTTCCCTTGCAAAAAAACTCAAACTCTACAAAAACGTCAATGTCTTCATGTCGTTCTTCTTAAGGAAGACGCCATCAAACAATGATACTAGTACTGACCCTATGCGTGATTTTCGTCTCTACGAGATCAGCTGCGGCAGGTAAGAGTCAAAGCGATGTAACTTAACTGATATCAGTGAGATCATCTTCAGTTAAACTGTTTTTCCGACCTGTTAAAGAGCTTATTATGCATCTACTTAACGTGTACTTCATCCAGAGACGAGAAAGCAGCCCATAGTTTGGGTCCTTTACTCGCAATTATAGTGAGGGCCTCTTTTCAAGATGAAGAACAAAAGATGTCAATTAAATGTAAACGTATGCCAATATGTGTAAAAGAAAATATGAGCTTTACTTATCATTTGACCATGAAATGCTTTCATTAGCCTTCTCGATGATCAAACTAAAAGTAAAGCCTTTTTCTAACATACCAACTTCTTTTTAAAAACATGTTCGATGAGCGAGAATAAGGAAGAGGGAGAATTTAGAGCTCTACATTAGAATACCGAAACAAACATTTTTTCATTTGTATGGGACACAGAAATAATCTGAGGAGGAATCGATTTCAAGAACTTCGTTTTCTGCGCTCAGATGCTTTGCCAGTGACCTACATAGACCTCTGTCGTGAATCAGGCCCACTGCTAGATTCATGTTTGACACAAGTCCTGAATACTGAACACTAAGTCATTCAAAATTTTACCCAAAGTGTAGTCGATACTGCTGCTCTGATGTAAATTAGCACTTCTGTTTGACAGTAAATCTATGTTTGCAGCATCACTGGGGTATGGAAACATGAAAATCGAAGGAACTGGAAAAATAAGTCCTGACCAGACTTCCATGGATATACACTTTGAAATAGCAAACGTCAAGAAGACCCAGCTATCAACACCAACAAGCTTTGGCATGAAGCCAGCACCTCTGCCAATTGCGGTACAACCTGACGCACATGCCACGAAGGCATACTCGTTTAAAGACAAGTGGTATCAAACAGACAAACCGTCTTTTGGGATAGAAACAGGTAAAAGCTATCCTTTTAAGTGGCCTCCTTGGTCTCTTTTTGCCATAGCTAAACGGAATGGACTGCTGCGCAGGCTAAGAAAATACTGTCCCTTGCAACTTCCCGCGAACGCATAGGTAAAATACGCGTTTTGAGGTATAATCAATTTAAAACTCTAAGGGCCGCATATTTACACAAGGTCTAACCCAAACCGCGGTTTTACGCTAGTAGTGGGCCTCAGGGATTCTCTATAAGAGGGTTGATTTAATTGACCAAATGTTGTTCCACTATCAACTTTCAGTCCTCTTGACAGTGTTCACAAAAATAAATGCTCTGAAATACGCGAGCCTCGTATCCGCCCTCAGTTATATGTCATCAGTTTCCTGTTCGTTTACTATTATGCTTTCCTTATACTGTCAGGTGTAACATTTACGTTCTAGCAATTGCTATCGGTACCAGTTACATTCCACGTTATATCCTGGATATTTTCCTCTCGTTTTCCTTTCATATTACACGCAGATAGAGAATTTCTGAAGTCAGCACTGGAGGCTCATAACAGATTTCGAGCAATCCATAACTCGCCCCCTCTTAGAATCAACATGAAGATGTCAAGGGAAGCTGAACAATTTGCAAAGAAACTTTTAAAAAGGGGTGCAAAGAACCAACCAATGATGCACGAGGACGTTCTTGTCCTGCGCAAGGAAGATGAAGGAGAGAATTTAGCATCAGGAGGAAGCGGCTTGGGTGGACTGACTGCGTATGGCGCAGTAAAAAATTGGTGAGCCATGCAACTTCTAGATGGCTCAATCATTAAGGACTGCAATGGCTTTCAGCGAGAAAAAAACTTTTATTATTGTAACCAGTAGGTTTAGCACGTTACTATGCCTGAGATCCATCTCGGGTTCTCTTTATTGTTCAAAACTTATAGGGCCAGAATTCACCGTGGCCACAAGTCGGTTTTCGGAACAAGTACATGGAAAAGAAGGTTATTTGATATTTTCAACTGAGCTGATAGCGTAAATTGGCCACTGTTAGGACTTTACAAACTGATATTTCGAGAGTTAGCCCTTCTTCATTTGCTCTGACGAAGGGTTAACCCTCAAAACGTCAGCATGTAAACACTTAACGATGGCCAATTTATGCTCTTAACTCAGTTGATAATACTAAATTACCTTGTTATACTCTCCCACCGACGCATTACCATAGTTTCTTTGGATAGTTAATCAGAATGAATTCCACAAGAGATCAACTGTTTCTGGTATCTTTAAGTAGCACAGGTGCAAATGACAAAATGAGGAAATTTCGATCTGTTGATGAGTACCATAAATCTTGAGTCAGTACCAGAAAAAAAATACCTATGCCCTCTTTAAGATAATGCTACTATAAACACATGTATATGTAACAGTTTCTGAATCGAGAAAATGTTTTAGTTGACCCACTGGATCGGAGATGGAGATTTTTTCAGAAGTAACCAAGCTTTGAGAATCGAATGATGTTGAAAATACTGATACTAATACTTTAAGTGTACTTGAAACTCTTATTTTCATGATACAGAATAGATTTGTGAATTACGACAGCAATGATGTGTAAAAACAAAGTTCAACATGGTTAATTTCACAAACTTTGTCTTTTAAAGGTACAACGAGGTTTGCACTTACAACTGGGGCAAAGGAAGTTATGAGCCACAAGCTGCTCACTTCATGCAAGTCGTTTGGAAAAATAGCACAGAATTTGGAATCGGAAAAGCGGAAGGACGGAGAAATGGTCGACGTTACACCTACATAGTGGCGCGTTACAAGCCAGCCATCAGATACGACACTATGGAAAACGTGCTGAAGGGCAAGTTTAATCCATCCTATTGTAAACCGAAGCCTACCTTTTCACTGTCAGATGGAAATCAAAGCAGGCCTAGATCAAAAGTGCGACCAATCTTTGTGGCTCGTTTTCCAAAACAACCCGTTTATGCTCACAAGAAGCCAGCGATTTTACATAAATCATATTTCTTGAACAGGAGCAGGATTAATCAAAAGGAAATGGTAAACCGGTCGGCAGGTTCGTATGACTCAAGCAATGTCAAGTACAATGAGAGATACTTAAAGGCTGTAGGCAAAGCAACTCACTACGCGCAAGGTCACCTGAACGATAAACTAAGCTATTACGCCGGAAACTCCTGGAGCGCAAACACCGAAAACCGATCGTCCACGACAGCGTCCGAGTATTTCCCGAAGCAAGCCGAAGTTCTAGAGGAGTTCTTTGAGGGAGACGACCCAGATAAAGAAAAATATTATCAAGGAAATGGAAAATATGGAACTGTAGAAAGCATGAGGCATAGTCTCATACCCGTTATGAACAGTGAGGATGCCGAGATTGACGATGACCTATCCGAAGAAGAACAATCAACAAAAAGGCTCCCACTAAAACAATCTTAGAAGAATTTGCCAGTTGCACTCGAGAAATGTATTTATAACACCTTGGAAAATAAGGCACTAGATATAGAGGTGCAATAAATCACTTAAACTCATAAAGGTTATTTCTTCTTTTTTAATCAACCCACAAATCTTTCCTCAGGGAAACCCCTTTTGGGCTGAAATTCCAGCCATAAACACAACTGTGCTTTGAGCAATCCATCTCTGACAAGGCCAGCTACTGAATGCCAGACTGGATATTCATTCCCTCCCATTTAAAAAACGCGCTCGAAAAGTAAGATACGCACATTTTTTGGTAAAGAACCAAAACCATCTTATCAACTAACCAACTTACCATCTTACTAACTTACCATCCCTCTTATTCTATTGTTTGGTATGTCTGCATCTTTTCTATCAAGTCATATCACTTAGATATATTTGTTTTGCTATAACTACATTGACCAATTTTTTTCATTTTTTTCTGGGCCTTGACACCCTTAGTTGGAAAATTTTTGCCAAGGCTCTCGAAAGTGGGCGTCATGTCGATCGAGCAAAAGATATATTTAATGTCATAAACCAAAAGAGATGGTCGATCAGTTCATTGAATAATTTACTTTAGTATATACTAAAACAGTGGATAGCGTCTAACGCGCGCTCTGATTGGCTTCTCAAACCCAAAATATACTTTATCATTTAATTTCATTTCCGGATGATGCATTTCTAGTGATCTGATTGGGTCACTCAACTCTGGTTATCAGCTCATATTATCAAAGTATCAAACGTTCAGGAATTAATGAAACTTGATAAAATGAGTTTTCCATTCGCGCTTGTTGGATGCAAGATTGGCTATAGCCAACTCGGCGCTACGCGCCTCGTTTGCTATTCACCGTCTCATATCCAACTCGCGCTCGTAGAATAATTGTTAGTTATTTTTTCTAAGAGGGCACAGTAACGAATCTTGCAATCTCATTGGTTCTTAGCTCGACCCGTATTTTCCTACGCTTGCGTTAGTCACCGAGAACATCTCTAGCTTCCTTGCCACCCTTTACAAAAAGTATCTCAGAAATAAAAGACTGAATTCTAAAGACTAAAAAGACCAAATTCCCCTGAGGTCCAGTTAAAGTGTCTCATTTGACTCAAGTTATTTGGCGGAAAACTTACAGTTACATTCCTTTCATTTACAGTCTTAATTCCTTATTTTCAGCTACGTTCCTTCGCTTTCAGTGAAAATTATCTTTTTTAAACAAGGTTATAAAGTGGTTCAGTGACAAGGAGTCAAAACTCCTGCAGCAAACCTCGGTATAGTTGAAAATTAATACAAATACCAGGAAAGCAAAAACGGTCGAACCATATGACATTAGGTCTAAAGAAAATATTGGGACTTTCATTTTCTCTTTGTTAGGCGATAGCTATTATTTTTTGTGTAAGGTATGGAAGGTTGAAACGAACTGCGCGCACAGCGAACCATTTTCAGAGATAGCAGAAAGAGACAAATGATTCCTAGCTGTTTCATTAAGCATATTTAATGAAGAAGTTGATTGTCTGTAATGATGTCAAGCAAAGATGGACTGTCATGGAAATGATATTGAATACTTAGGAAAAAAAATGAAAAATATCAAAGAAAGAAAAGAAAAAGGAAAAAGTTATTTACCAAAAACAGCGCTTCAGCTGTTATATCAAGGACTTTCAAGTCTTGAAATCATTTCAGTGCTCTCTAAGTTAAAAGCAGTGGATTACCTCATAGGCGTTACGAAATACTTGAAGCGTTACTTAGTATGTTTAAGATACCAGAAAAGAAGATCAGATTATATCAGCTTTTGTTTTACGAATAAGGTAGGGGAAGGGTGGAAAATTGTCAGTCAAGGATACTCTTTTTGTTGATAGCCGAAAGATTTGAAGAGGACCTATTTTAAGTAAGTATATTCAAAATAAGAAGTTAATTACCTCGACAGCAGGAAGGTAAGACAGAGCTAGAGCTGATGAAAGCCCAAGGCCAGTGTTAAAACGTAAATGAACAATTTAAAAGAAAGAGCGCTTTCAAAGAAGAAAGCATTTAAAAATTTTTCAAACTAAAACCTTAGAACTACTTGACCTGTCTCCTTTTTTACAGATTATGGCAGAGTTTAAAAAATTGCTCCATTTTCGGTATTTAGTAAAGGCTAGGCTAGTCAGCATTTTCAAGGTTAATTCTTAAGACTTCGGTCACGAACTTAAGCCGTTCATGTAGTGACAACTCTGATTTTTCAGAAAAATCAGAGGTCATGTGCCAGTTTTTCGATAAACGTGGCTATCCTGTTTCTGTCGTTCAAGCGGACCACCACCGTGCCCAACAAATCGATCGATACGGAAAACACCGATCACATTCCATTCACTCTCACATTTCACCCTCGCAACCACGCAGTTAAATCTATCATTCTAAAGAACCGAGAACACCTTCGCGACATAGAGAGAAATGACAAGGACGCATCCAAACAAGTCGCTAGACACTTTAATCTCCCTTACCATTCTAAGCAGCATTTAGTAGTTTGCGGCCTTTCCCTAAATCAAGGCTATTCGGAAAGCCGCAAAACTCTACGTAAAAAATTTATCTTTCAAATTGGCACTCTTAATCCCCACGGTATTAACGAGTGCTTTTCATTCAACTAATTTATTCTTGTTTTCTCGTCACCATAATCCCACCACTAGCGCAGCTCTAGACACACACAATTTTACAGTAACTCTGTAAAATGTCAGCTTTGAAACTTTTAAAGGTGGCCAATTTACGTTATCGACTCAGTTGATAATACTAAATTACCCTGTTATACTCTCCCACTGACGCAGAACCAGTTTCTTAAGAAACTTACCCCATTTTTCAGATAAAGACTTATCAATTGATGAGGTTTCGAAAGACTTATCAATAGATGAGGTGTCGTAGACTCTTCTTTTAAACGAGACACGAATGATCTCATGTTGCTCTTTACCGATTAACTAGCATGATTACACTTCTAACCTTAGACTTTCTCCTACCCACGACATCTTTTCTATTCGACTGCTCACTTAGGGTGGGAGTGTTAATACTGTGCAATCCCTTTCATTCCTTCCCTTCAAAAAATACAAAGTTTTCAATCCAAGTCAGATTTGAAGTGGTAAGACACGTGATAAAGAGACAGGGAAGTACTGTAACACTTCTTCAAGAGAGGAAAATGTGGGTGGGTTACACGTGAGGAGTTTCTATGGGTCTACTAATCAGTTCACACGAGAAAAGTACAATAAAGTCAAGTGATTCACATCGCCTGACAATAATTTTTTTTCAGTTCTCTTAACATAACACATCATTCCCGCACTTCACTAAGATTACAGGTTATATAAATATGATTATAAAAATCCATCCGGAGCTCGCAGAGCGTAGCGCCATAATTATACAAAATAGTAGTAACCCACCAAGCCGAAAAAATTTGGATGTACGACCGTACGACCGTTCAAGGTGCTAATTTTAACATGCGCGGTCAACTGTACTGCGGGCACGCCAACGCCACGGCTTTGTCCAGTAGTCCAGTGGTCAGTGCACTGGGCTCCGAGTCGGACGACCCGGGTTCTAGTCCTGGCCGGGGCAAGACGTTGTGCCCTTGAGACGTGCGGGAAAAGAAATGCGAGCTCCACTTTTAGGCTCGGCTAAATCTATGTATTACGAGTGACCTGATTCGTCAAAAACCTTTCATTTATAAAGGGGTAAGTTTCTAAAGAAACTGTGGTGCTGCGTCGGTGGGAGAGTATAGCAGGTAATTTAGTGTTAACAACTGGGTTGAAAACGTAAATTAGCCACCGTAAAGGGTAAAAAAGCTGACGTTTCGAGCGTTAGCCCTTCGTCAATCGCTCTGACGAAGGGCTAACGCTCGAAACGTCAGCTTTTTTACCCTTTACGGTGGCTAATTTACGTTTTCAACCCAGTTGTTAACACTAAATTACCTGCTTTCATTTATAACTTTGATAAACCCATAGAAAATTGATACATTTTGAGTTATCTTAAAAAGGCATTAGCCCGCGCTCTTTCGATTAGTTTACCGGCGTAATGACACATTTGGAATGCTGGGAGAACACGAGAAAAGTTCGTAAATTGCTTGCCGGAGGCGAGTGATTTTAAAACACTTCGAGTGTTCTCCCAACATCCTGTATGGGTTATTACCCAGGTAAATTGATGGAAAGAGCGGTCTATTGCTTTAATAGTCTTCGAAAGTTGTTTTTAGTAGTTTTTCGAGAAAAAAAAGGCAATCAATAGGTTTACAAAAGACTGTCACCAGTCAGCTGATAGATGACACCCCTAAAACATTTACGAAGAAGTTGCTCAGAAACCATTTCAACAAATTGCTTGATGAAGACGGCTATTAAATTGGCTTGGTTAACTTTAAAAAATCAGATGAAATCTTTCTTTGATTCATGTGTGATCTCAGTATTAACTGATTACCAAATACAGTACAAAACGAAAAAGAGTTTCTAAAAATGTGGGTTTTCACTCAAAATTTACATTTGAAACTATTAACGTTTCATATTACGTCAAAGTGCAAAGATCACCTTGCCACTCTAAAACTTACCAAAACGCAAAAAGCTGACTTTTCAATCGTTACAAAGAAACAGGTAATTGTCCAGAATAAGCCAATAACCTTTCTTCACGGTAAACTGAGGAATACAGTTATTGACCCAAGGACATTATTTCATTTTACTACTTGACAAAGCAAACATCATCCATCACCTCTGGCACAATCCGTCTCCAAAACTCGACAAGCTTTTGGTAAGAGATTTGAAGAACGTTAATGTTGTTTTAACATTGGACACATTCACCTCATTTCTTTTTACCTGTGTTTAAGATAAAATCATAACTGGTTAAAAATGATGTGAAATATATGAAACATATCTAAGATGTAACTGGTCAGTGTTTCCTAACGAATCGAATGCGAGATGTGTAGTAATATCTGCAGAAAAAATTCAAGTTTTAAACTTTGATTTTTAAAAAACAGAAAGAACTTAAAAACGGAAAAACTTCGGGAATGTTTAACGAATATACTCTAAAATCAGTTAATTAACTAGTTACCGTTGTCATCTGTTGAGACCGTGGAGACCTTTGGTTTTTTTCTGTTTGTTTGTTTATCGGTTGGTTTGGAAGTTTTAGACATCACTTGCCAGAGATTAACTTGTTAATTTTTGGTATTTCTCCAGCAGGGATACATGATAAAAAATTTCCAACATTAATACTATTACGGAGTCATTTCTCGATTCATTCAAATTGAAAACTACCAGAATAAGAATTTCACGTTAGTGATTTGATTATCTAAAACAGATCTTCAATATAAGATATCTCCTTTTCATCTCTTCTTTACTTTTTTTTCCTGCAGGATTTCCTTTAGAGAATGTGGCCTTGTTATCTCTTGCTTGCCATTGTAGCAGTCGATGGAGGTAAAGGAGATTCCTTTTTGATTAATGAAGTTTAAATTTGGCTATTTTCTTTTATGTAACTAATCGATTTTTAACTATACCGCATGACAATTACAACGCGGTCGAAAGGGGCGTCTCAGAGGACGATAATATGTTGACGATTATATGTCAGTCCGCTGCAAGGGGGGTAGTTTTATTTATCGGAAACAAAATAAAGCAGGAAATCTATAGGAGAGGTTACTAAAACAAAATCTAAATAAGGCTACAGTTTTAGAAAACCAATAGATCCGGAAATATTTTGAGGCCGTTGTTCGAGATAAAAATATATTTTCCAGTCTTATCAATAAGCCTTCCTGATTTTCTTGTCGCAGATGTATTCCAGAATTCTCAAAATTTTAAGCTTTCTGGTTCTGGAACGGCGGAGAAAAATGGCAAAATCAATTTAAACCTTCAAATTCAGATCGCAGGAACTGGGGAGAGTCCGATAGGAGGTCTAACGGGGGCGAGTCCGACAACAAGTCCAACGGGAGCCTCGGGAGTTCCGGGAGCAGCTCCAATTACTGGGGCACCAACAGCAGGAACAGGGGGAAGTATGCTACATCAATGCTTAGTTTTGACCTTCAAGTCTTTCTCTTTCATTTCTCTTCTGTAGAATAGAACTACCGGGAGCAGGGGGAAGTATGTTACATGAATGCTCACTTGGACCTTAAAACCTTCTTTCATTTTCTTTCTGTAGTAAATGAAAACTAAACATACTTCATTTACTTAACATGATCTAACGAGGCGAAATTTTGTATGAGATAACATCTCACAACATAGCACGACAAACATACTATAAGATAGATGTGACTTGTCAAAGCAGTTTCAGGCTACATCGCAATCTCAGCCTCAGACTGCACAACTGGGAGAGCCGAGTGCTTCTCTTGAATAGCAGAATTAGAAATTGTTTCTATCAGTTGTCCTCATGTTAACATTTGTTGCTCAGGGGCAAGTTTACGCGAGCTTGAGAATAAAACCATACGACCTAGTTTAAAATGTTCTACTTATAAAAAGGGCGACAAATGCTTTTGCATGGCCCTGCACTGGGTATAGCATCGATTCTTTCTTAACGAACATCTCTCTCTCTCTCTCTCTCTCTCTCTCTCTCTCTCTCTCTCTCTCTCTCTCTCTCTCTCTCTCTCTCTCTCTCTGAGAAGCTGAAACGTCTGCCCAATGCCAACCCCGCTGCTAGTTTTGTTCAGTTATATTTATAAATCTTAACTCTCCTTTTGAAGAAGACCCTTCAAGGTGTCCTTTGATAATGATTCCAAAGGTATAAGCCTTTAAAAACAAATGACTATTTGCCCTCACTTTGCCTATTTTCTTTCAGTGTTTACTGAGGAAGAACAAATGGGTTTAGCAAAGCACAATGAATTCCGACAAGTACATGAAGCTCCTGCTATGACACTGGACAGAGATATGTGTGATCAGGCGAAACAGTACGCTCAGAAGCTTGTAAATATGGGTGCTCTAAAGCATTCGTCGAGAGGAGAGAGAGAAGGGCAGGGAGAGAATCTTTCCATGGGATGTTCATCAAACGCTCCACAAACCGTAGAGGAAGCCGTGACAAATTGGTGAGGTTACATTTCGCTTTCTTGTAGCGCAGAAATTCGATTAGGTGTAGTATTCAACTTTAATTATTTGGCCTTTGAGAATAGGCTCACGAGGCTACCCAACACAATGATGTCATTTCTTTTACAGTTGTATACTTAGTTGCTAAGCTTTTGATCTGCAGTGAGGCTGAAAGTGACCTTGTTGTGATAGAGAGCCGTATCTAGTCAGATTGATAACAAAGTAATTTACATTCGAAAAGCAGCAAGGTTTGTATCATAACCAGGTTACCCTTAGCCTCACTCCTCTTCGAAGGCTCGGCAACCAAACACGCAACTGTGAAAGGGACTATTTACTCCCAAACCTCGCTTTCACTACATTCTTCCCGAGTCTTTGCCAAGTTCTTATCGTTCGCTTGTGGGTGTTCCTTTGATTTTTGGTCCTACTCCCCATAAATAGAGAAAGTAACGATGATGGTAATCAGTTATTTTTTATTTCAGTGTTTTGGGAATATTTTTATTTTTGAATTACATTTCACTAGTTCGCGCCTTGAGAGTGAGGCGTAGAGGGTGGAATTGGATATTGCACCGTAAAAATGCACTAGGCCTACTTCCACTAATTTAGTTAAAATTCTTTTCTTAGAAATAAGGTGTAGTAACCCTGACTATTTCTGAATGATCTGATTCGAAATACTAAGGAGCAACCATCCTTCCAAACAAGACATCTGAAACAGATATCGAATATATTTGGCACTCTGCAATAGCGGCCCGCACACAACCCAAGCGGTCCATACCACTGACGTTCAATCCAGTCTTTTTATGTAGCCCTCATTGGTGCCACTTCATGTTGCGGTTAATAACCTAATACCTTGTTATATGCTTACGGGAATCGATCGTGACATCTTCATTGTTTAGAAAAGCATCGCCGAAACCAAAACCTTTCTGGCACACTTCCTTTTCTTGAGTAACCAGGACAGAATTTCCCATAACAGATTTAAGCAGAAAACTCATGAGAGTAAATTAGTAGGGGATTATTAAGTGATCCAACACCAAATTCCCACAACAAACAGAATAGTCGAGCCAAAAGTCGACCCAAAACATCAATGGTGATGCTAAACTCGCCAGATGAGCTGCCTTAGCACGAATTTAGTGCCCGAATAAAGCACGGAATCTATTGAAATCTTCAGTCGGTACAGGTTCCATGAAAAAACCGGTCACGAAAATGATACGAGTTAACAAACGGCGTAAAGAGGGTGGTGAAATATATGTGAAACCCATGTCTACAAAACTATTATAGATATTAGAAAACTTGACGCAGGGGTGGAATTGCTTGAATTAAAACTGTGAGGGCAATTTTACGAAATCGGAACACCTAAGGTTGCTAATGATGAACGATACTCTCCGCCGTGTGTTTCGTGATGTGTGAAGCCAAAGCAGTCAATTAATGTTATGACAGCTGATTTTTCTTTTGCTCTATTTTTGTGTTCTCTCTCTTTAGTCTCATTGTTTTCCAGGTACAATGAGGTCTGTGATCCGGGATATAATTTTGGCAGGGCTTCCTACTCTGGTGGAACAGGCCATTTTACACAGGTAGTTTGGAAAGGCAGTACAGTTCTTGGAATCGGACGGGCAGAGGGTACAATGCGAGGAATGAAATGTGCATATATTGTGGGCAGATATAAACCAGCTGGAAACATGATGGGGGACGTTGCCCAAAATGTGGTGAAAGGTTCCTTTGATAAAGGCAGCTACTGTGCATCAATTCCAAGAAAAAATCGATGGTTCTTTGACAAGAATGGGAAAGCAGTGAAGGTGAATGGAACCAAAGTTCCGACTTTCAAAACGGGACTAGCTGAGAGTCGTGCCCAGCCGGTTGAGCTATTGAATAGCAAGAAGAAAACAACTGTTTCGCACAAGCACAATAAATGAGTCTCTCTGTGAAAAAAAAATCCAAAATAAAAAAAAATATATATATATATATATATAAATTGATATTTAGTAATTGCCATGATTATTAAACAGTTGATTAAAAGATAGGACCACCAAACACCGCTGTCTCACTCTGTTCATTTCAGTTGCTTAATGTAATCTTTTAAAAACTCCAACATTCAGAAATGTGGCCGAGTTTATCTTTTAAAAACCTGGAAATATAAGCAAACTGTTGGTTGGAAGGTTTGAAGTCTACATTTTTACCAAGATGTGGGTTTTTCGCACCGCACCGGAAACGTTATCAAACTTCATTTCCGGATGTTCTGATTGGTTCATTCAACTCTGGTTATCAGTTCGTATTCGAGTCACCTCTTATGGGAATGAACAAAGGGGGTAGCTGCGTCCGTGGGAGAGTATAGCAGGTAATTTAATATTAACAACTGAGTTGAAAACGTAAATTGGCCACCGTAAAGGGTAAAAAAGCTGACGTTTCGAGCGTTAGCCCTTCGTCAGAGCGATTGGGACTTTTGTGAACATATTCAAATGTTCAGGCATTAATGAAATTTGATAAAACGATGTCTTCATTCGCGCTTGTTGGATACAAGATTGCTTATAGTCAACGTGGCGCTACGCGTCTCGTTTGCTATCCAACGTCTCATATCCAACTCGCGCTCATAGAATAGAATAATTGTTCGTTATTTTTTTCTCAGAGGTGTATTTATATTATATAAAAAGTACCTAGAAAGTTAAAACGTGAGGTATTTGGTTACAATTGAATTAATCGATGGAACTCGTAGTGAAAGGGCTAGAGAAGTTTATAGTTCTAGTGCAGATACATTTTCTATAAGTCTTTCCAAGTCGGTTCAATTTGGACATTTGTTCTGTAAATTGCACAAAAAAAAAGGAATTCAATGAGAAAAAGCCCCATTAAATCCCCTTGTGTCTCATTGAAGTGTCTCATTCGAATTAAATTTTAGTGAAAGACCAGATTTACACACGTCATTGCAGTAAACAAACGAGCGAACTCTCACAACTTCAGAGTAAAAAAATTTGAATTTACTTTCAATTACTTTCCTTCCCATTTACTTGCTGAACGGAGGTAAATCCTCGTACATTAATCAATCATCGATGAGAGCAATACTTTCCGTAAGATCATTAACTGGTTTTGAAGAAAACATTGTCGGGACAATCCTTGCCAAACTAATTCTGTTGTTTTTTCAAAAGTGTACATGCGCTTTTTTTCCTTAGAAGCTTTCTGATTGACAGGTGTCAGATTGTGACATATTGTCTCAAAGTTGGCTTGAAAGCCTTTTAAATCACCTTTATCATTACGCAAATGAAAATCTCTCGGTGGAGCTTCTCTCTTCAATTTGCATTACCTCTATTTAATTACCATTTACTAGCTCAAAAATTGTTCAGTTTACGGAAGATCTTGCCGTAATCACAGCCCTTAATCAGTCGAGTTCTTTTGAAGAGAATTTCGTTTTGTTTAAGGAAAAAAATAAAAATGTTATTCACCAGTCTAGGTCGGTCCGTATAGGAAAAAACTGTGCCCAAGGTCTTGAGTACCACCCGAGTACCATCTCGAGACCTCGGGCACAGTTTTTCTCAATACGGACCTCCCGACTGGTGAATAACATATGTTTATTTTTTTTCTCAGAGGGCACGGTAACGAATCTTGCAGTCTCTTTGGTTCTTAGCGCGGTCCGCATTTCCCTACCTCTGCCCAAGGGCACGGCAACGCTTGCGTTGGTCACTGAGAACATCCCTAGCTTCGCTGCCATTCTTCTTATAGAGATAAATTTTATTTTTTCGGCTGGGCCTTATTTTCAAGCAAATCAAGCCGAATGATAACTTGTTAATCGTCTCTTTCCTCAATCTTAAGTCTCTTTGGTTACCAGTAGAAATTTGTTTTCGAAATAAAGTTGTGGTAGCAAATGTGTCACTCTGAAATGAGTTGACAAGCGGCCTGAAAACAGTTTTATATTAACTTTATTCCTAAAAAGATATTTTTTTGCTACTGAATTGATCGATGGAACTTTAAATCATTTAATATCTTAATTCTCTCTTTCGTCGTTGCGAAGTTTTCAGTATTAGAACACCTTCGCGTCTTGGAGAGAAATGACAAGGACGCATCCAAACCAGTCGCTAACTTTAATCTCCCTAATAACTCTAAGCAGCATTTGGCAGTTTCCGGCCTTTCTCTAAATCAAGGCAATTCGGAAAGCCGCCAAACTCTGGATCAAAAAATAATACAAATACCAGGAAAGTGAAAACGGTCGAACCATATGACATTAGGTCTAAAGAAAATATTGGGACTTTCATTTTCTCTTGATTAGGCGATAGCTATCATTTTTTGTGTAAGTTATGGAAGGTTGAAACAAACTGCGCGCACAGCGAACCATTTTCAGAGATAGCAGAAAGAGACAAAGGATTCCTAGCTGTTTCAGTAAGAATATTTAACGAAGTTGAATGTCTGTAATGATGCCAAGCAAAGATGGATTGTCACGGAAATGATATTGAATACTTAGGAAAAAAAAATGAAAAATATAAAAGCGAGAAAAGAAAAAAGAAAAAGTTATTTACCAAAAACAGCGCTTCAGCCGTAATATCAAGGACTTTCAAGTCTTGAAATCATTTCAGTACTCTCCAGGTTAAAAGCAGTGGACTAGCTCAGGCGTTACGAAATACTTGAAGCGCTACTTAGTATGTTTAAGATACCAGAAAAGAAGAATGATCGAAAATATCTTGAGATTATATTAGCTTTTGTTTTACGAATAAGGTAGGGGAGGGTGGAAAATTGTCAGTCAAGGGTACGGCTTTTTAATGATAGCCGAAAGAGTTAAAGTGGACTTATTTTAAGTAAGTATATTCAAATAAGAAGTTAATTACCTCCACAGCAGAAAGGTAAAACAGAGCTAGATCTGATGAACTCCTGAGACTGGTGTTGAAACGTAAAGGAACAATTTAAAAGAAAGAGCGCTTTCAAAGAAGAAACCATTTAAAAATTTTTCAAACTAGAAACTTGGAACTACTTGACCTGTCTCCTTTTTCACAGATTATAGCAGAGTTTAAAAAATTGCTCCATTTTCGGTATATAGTAAAGGCTAAGCTAGTCAGCATTTTCAAGGTTAATTTTTAAGACTTCGGTCACGAACTTAAGCCGTTTATGTAGTGACAACTCTCATTTTTCAGAAAAATCAGAGATCATGTGCCAGTTTTTTTTTTCTGTTGTTCAAGCGGACCACCACCGTGCCCAACAAATCGATCGATAAGGAAAACACGGATCGCATTCATGTTCACTCTCACATTTTACCCTCGCAACCACGCAGTTAAATCAATCATTCTAAAGAACCGAGAACACCTTCGCGACTTAAAGAGAAATGACAAGGACGCATCCAAACAAATTGGCACTCTTAATCCCCGCGATATTAACAAGCGCCTTTCATTCAACTAATTTCTTCTTGTCTTCTCGTCACCATATTCCCACAAATAGCGCAGCTCGATACACACACAATTTTCCATTCGCTCTGACGAAGGGCAAGCCGGCGCTTGAAATGTCAGCTTTGAAACTCTTAACGGTGGCCAATTTACGTTATCGACTCAGTTGATAATACTAAATTACCCTGTTATACTCTCCCACTGACGCAGAACCACAGTTTCTTAAGAAACTTACCCCCTTTTTTCAGATGAAGACTTATCAATTGACGAGGTGTCGTGGACTCCTCTTTTAAACGAGACACAAATGATCTCACGTTACCCTTTCCCGATTAACTTGCACGATTACACTTATAACTTCGTTTATCTTCTACCCACGACATCTTTTCTATTCGACTACTACTGGTGGGAGCTTCGATACTCTGCGACTCCCTTTCATTCCTTCCACTCGAAAACTACAGAGTTTTCAATCCAAGTAAGATTTGGAGAAGTAAGACACGTGATAAAGAATTACGAGACCGAGAAGCCTGGAACATTTTTTCAAAAGAGGAAAATGTAGGTGAGTCACACGTGAGGAGTTTCTATGGGTCTACTGATCAATTCACACGAGAAAAGTACAACAAAGTCAATTCAATTCTCTTAGAATAACCCACCATTCCCGCACTTCACTAAGATTACAGGTTATGTAAATGTGATTATGATAATATATTTAAAAAAAACGATATTACGAGTGACCTGATTCGTCAAAAACCTATCATTTATTGCACCGATAAACCAATAGAAAATTGAAACCGTTTAAGTTATCACATAAAAGTAATAGCCCGCGCTCCTTCGATCACTTTACCGGCGTAGTGAACCACTTGGAATGCTGGAAAACACGAGAAATGTTCATAAGTTGCTTGCCAGTGGCGAGTGATTTGCTCAGAAATCATTTGAACAAATAACTTGATAAATAGGGCTTTAAATTTGCTAGGTTTTATTTGAAAAGTAAGATAAAAAAATGTCTTTAATTCATGTGTGATCCCAATATTTATTATTCTGGCGATTTCGTCCAGTCCTATCTCTAAATGCAATACAAAACGAAAAAGAGTTTCTCACAACAAGGGTTTTCACTCAAAATTTACGTGTGAAACTATTAACGTTTCAGATTACGTCAAAGTGCAAAGATCGCCATGCCACTCTAAAACTCACCAAAACGCAAAATTGCTTGCCAGTGGCAAGTAATTATCCAACATTTCGAGTGTTCTCCCAACATCTTGTATGGGTTATTACCCAGGTAAATTGATATAAAGTACGGTCTATTGCTATAATAGTCTTCGAAAGTTTTTTAAATCAAGAAGAAGAGTCAATCAACAAATTTACGAAAGAACAATTGCCGCCAGTCAGTTGATAAATGACACCCCTAAAAAAATTATGAAGAAGTTGCTCAGAAATCATTTAAGCAAATTGCTTGATGAATAAGGCTATTAAATTGGCTTGGTTTTCTTTGAAAAAATCCGATGATTCTTTTTTTTGATTCATGTGCGATCTCAGTATTTACTATGCTGACGATTTCGTACAGTCCTATTGCCAAATACAATACAAAACGAAGAAGAGTTTCTCACAATATGGGTTTAACGTTCCAGATTACGTCAAAGTGC